TGAGGACAGAGGAGATCTTAGGTGCAGTAAAAGCAGGTATTTCAAGAATTGGATCACTGATGAGGAAACATTTGAGCCCCAACAAGAGGGTAGTGAAGGTAAGAAACCATTAGGCTGAAGAATGGCCCCACCCAAGGCATCACATCCTCATCCTTGGAGCCAGTGTTACGTTATATAGCAAAAAAGGGTCTTTGCAGAAGTGATGTAAGTAAAGGCTCGTGGAATGGGGAGATGATCCTGGATGATCGGGTGAGCCTTAAATGCAGCCCCACGTCTCCCTCTAAGAGTGGGTAGAGGGAGGTTGGCGCACACAGAAGAGCGTGATGGTGCAAAGGTGGAGCAGAGAGATGTGGAAGATGCCGGTCTTAAAGGTTGGAGTCCGGTGGCCAGAGGCCAAAGCCTGCAGACAGCTGTTCATGGCTGGAAGGGACGGAGGGCTGCCCCTCGGCGGAGCACAGCTTTGCCAACACCTTGATTTCAGCTCAGTGGAACTGTTTGGACTTCCAGCCGCCAGAACTGTGTGAGAGAGTTTCTGCTGATTTAAACCACCGAGTCTTTGGTAATGTGTCACCGCAGCTACAAGAAACTAGCACAGACCCCAGCATTACATCGTATCACATCAGCAGGGGGAGGGGCCCGGACGGCTTCTCTCTCCCTCTGGAGGGGCCTCTTCTGCGACGAGCAGCCCTGACCGGAGCAGGCCAGAGGGCCAAGCAGAACACACTCCACAGTCTCAATAGGTGAAGGACCCCAACTTGCAGCAAGTCAGTTCAGTGATGGGTAAAGATAAAATCTGATTTGTGTCTAGGTGGATATATTGTTCACCATACTGAAAATTTGAATGTGTGTGCTTTTATCAGGTAACAACTAGGAAATGTGGTTTGCATCCTGAAGCATTTGATGGAGAAAGACTTTACTTGCATTGTAAGTAGTGAGTTTCTTCAGTACCACACTGATAAAGTATTCAGTCATGTCCTTTAAAACACATAAGGATGTAGAGTGTAAGAGGAAAGAGAGGTCACCCTCCCAAGACTGTACAGGTGAGCAGGTGAGCCATTCTGCTCCTGGGCTGCAAAGAGACTTGGGGAGTCGATACCGTAAGACCTTTGAACGGACCCCGCCAGGGTTCAGGTCATGTTCAGAATAGGAGAGTGCCATCTTATTTCATTTGCCCACGATTTAGAGGCAGTGCAGCAGGGGATTAGCAAAGGCTGAGTCGGTACCAAAACCCTTCTGGAGGAAAGCTCCCATTTGTGGCTTAGGGTAAATCAGATGAATACCGCCGCTTGAAAGAATGGCATTTCCCCAACTTTGTGCATCAGAATCACCTGGCGTGCTTTTTACAAATGCAGATTCCTGGGCCCCGTCGTCAGATTCTGACATGGTGGACAAGGAATATATGTCTGAGAAACACTGAGCTTGTCAAAGTCCTGACAAACAAAGTGAAGCACTTACTTTTAGAATTGTTAGAAGAGACAAAAAGAACATTTTGAAATAGAAATAGAGCCTTCTGTATACCACTTGAGAGTTCTGCTCTTTACACAACCTCTGTAGACTTGAGAATAGAAACTTCTGTGTCTCTGCTGTTAAAAGTGAAGCCACATTTACTATTTAAATTTGCTTCCCTCGTTTGTTCCAAACCCAAGTAATCGATTGACAAGGTTTGAATTTCTGTTTAGAGACAATTTTCCCACACTGGGGGGTTTTACGTGTAATTTAAGACTTCACATTATGTAGGGGCGCCTGGGTGGCTCAGTCGGTTAAGCATCTGAATCTTGATTTCGGCTCAGGTCAGGATATCAGGGTCATAGGGTTGAGCCCCAGGTCGTCGGGCTCCCCGCTCAGCGGGGAGTCTGCTTCTCTCCCTCTTCCTCTCCCTCTGCTCTGCCTGCTCAACCCCTAAAAATTCATAAAATAAATAAAATCTTAAAAAAAAGACTTCACATTATGTGTTAGTGTGTATAAGGGAAAACAAGCATTTTACTTACATTGTGTGTCAGCTGGGTAAAGAGTACATGAGGGTGGGGTGTGTCATTATCTTGTTCCATCTATTTTTGTCTGTGCTTGAAATACTCCATTATAAAAATTTTGTTGTAAGTCTAACGAAGGGGAAGAATTAAATGTCCTGGGGCTGCCGAATCATCCCAGACTCATGCATGTGTGACGTACAGGGGACACAGCCAACTTTCAAGCCCAGGGCCTCCGTTTCTCATGCTGTCTTGCTAGTCTGGCTTTTCTTAGCACCTCTGGCAGGAGCGGGGAAAGTGTGTCAGCTCTCTCCCAGTAGGAAGTAGAAATGGTGCCCAGCTTTTTGAAGGCAGGACTCCGTTTGGCACTTTGGAGATCTCATCTTAAAGACAGTGTGAGAGTGTTCTGTAATACGTAAGTTTTGGTTCCAGCCATTACGCTGCGCTGTGGAAAAGCAGTGGCAGTTTTTCCCAATAGAAGGCAACACACATTAAAGCGTAGTTGTGTGGGAAGAAGGACATTAGATACAGTTAGAACGCATCTAAAAGACGATGTTTATCCCACGTAGGGGCTGTGTCACGGTGCCAAGTAACGTGCTGTGCAAGAGTCCCGATTGCACCAGTCAGTAATTTGGCCATGTCAAATGGCCTTTCTGTGTACATCCGGTCTCTGAAATTTCAAAGTACTTGAAGAAATCTTTGTCTTTGTTCTAATATCCTCAAATCATAAAAACTCCAGTGTCTCAGTGAGTGCTGCCATTTCCCGGCAACCTCCGGGCAGGAGCTCCTGTCTGCTGACGTATTTGTGATAATGGAGGTGGGGCCCCCGTTAGGAAGGCATGAGAACCGTTAGGGGCCCTCACAGCTGCTTTAAGGTAAGTTCTGCTACTCACCACTAGGCAGTGTGTATTAGACCAAAATGCCGTTGAGAAAATATCCTGAACGGTAGCCTTTATATGAAATGCCTGTAAGTGTCTACATTTTCCTGTGCGTTTGAGCTCAAGTAAGATAGGGTCCAACACATTCACTGAAAGATATTTGAGGTCCAAGCCTCCTGCTGTGATTGTCTCACCGAGGGCTTCAGAAGCCCTCATAGAAGCCCTGGGAGCGTTCATCTTCTCATACCCCGGCATGGCGTTAGAATTCGTCCCTGCCATCTGCCGCTTTACTTCTCCCACCTCGGAAGAACGTGGTGTGATCTGGAAGGATTTAGAACTGTCAAGATTGTGACAGGTTAGGGCGCCTGGGTGGCTCAGTTGGTTAAGCGACTGCCTTCGGCTCAGGTCATGATCCTGGAGTCCCTGGATCGAGTCCCGCATCAGGCTTCCTGCTCGGCAGGGAGTCTGCTTCTCCCTCTGACCCTCCCCCCTCTCATGTACTCGCTCTCTCTCATTCTCTCTCTCTCAAATAAATAAATAAAATCTTAAAAAAAAAAAAAAAAAAAGATTGTGACAGGTTAATAAATAATGGGCAGCACTTTACAAGTGATTTCTGGGCCAAAAGCAGTTGAAGGTTCTGAGGTTTCATTCTGAAATCTTAGCGGAGAGTTGCCGGCAAAGCACTGTATTTTAAATAATATTTAAAGCAAGATCAGAAGACATTCTCCAGGCTGATTTAGTGTCTAGTTAAATACCAGCATCTTTTATGTACTTGCACTTCATTTTTCATTGCTTTCTGTAAGATGCGAGGAATGAGAATGGGCACTATCTTTTACAGATGTTCAGACTAGATTTTTTTTTTCTTTTTAAGAAAAAGTCCTATTTCAACATCCCTCTGACTTTCTCCCCTCTAAGAGATAGCGTGATGGTATTTGAAAAGTCAGCCATTGGAATAAGTGAAACATTTGGTGGGCATGTGTTTATTTAAGTCAGACCTGTGTATTTGGGTGAGAAAATTCCATTGGTTATTTCCCCAATTTGATTTTCTCCAAATTTTGTTTTTAAAAATGCCCATAGAGGGGCGCCTGGGTGGCTCAGTCGTTAAACATCTGCCTTCAGCTCAGGTCATGGTCCCAGGGTCCTGGGATTGAGCCCCGCATCGGGCTCCCTGCTCAGCGGGAGGCCTGCTTCTCCCTCTCCCACTCCCCCTGCTTGTGTTCTCTCTCTCTCTCTCTGTCTCTGTCAAATAAATAAAACCTTTAAAAAAAAATAAATAAAAATGCCCATAGATGATGATGGTGATAATGATGATGATTAAAAAGGAACTGGGGCACATTTTCTTTTAAAAGCCGTAAACCTCACACCCATGTGTCTTCTTAAGAGTGCTTATCCCGAATATTGTATTATAGCTGAAAAGAGAAGTTTCGATATCTTTTTTTTTTAAGATTTTATTTATTTGTCAGAGCGCGAGCATAGGCAGAGGGAGAAGCAGGCTCCCCGCTGAGTAAGGAGCCCAGTGTGGGGCGTGGTCCCGGGACCCCAGGATCATGAGCTGAAGGAAGACACTGAACTGACTGAGCCACCCAGGTGTCCCAAGAAGTTTCAATTTCTAATACAAAGGTTAAACGTGGATTGGAAGACAGTTTTGACCAAAATTCTGTCTTGGTTCTTGAGGTCTTCCTAAACATTTCATTTAACACAACGTTAAAAGCTTTAAACACTGTGACCGTTGGTTCTTCAGTACACTTCACAGTGCTCCTTAACCTGTGTCCCCCATGCTACCCTGAAATCGACTCCTAACCTGACTTGGACAAACTGCCCAAGATGCCCAAGATCATGATTACAGGGCATAAAGTCGATTCTTCAGCCTGACGGCCAGACTTCTGGGCCATTTAAGCCTTTTTTGTTGTTGATCCTACAAATTCTCCTGAATGTGCTGTCCGTACAGCAGAATCTTGGCCAGGTATCTCACGCGTTTTTAAAATGTTTTCTAAATGATAGAAATGGCTCGGTAGGGAAGCCAAAGTGTTTATACAGTTTCTCTCAGAGAAATAAAATTCTTTATCCTAGATCGGATGTCCAGTTTGCACAAGATGATTGCTGAGAAGGTTATAGGCAGCGTCTCTGTTAAAAAGCATTGCTTTCTGTTAATTAGAGACGTGCAAGCAAGCCAGCGCTCCATAGCCTTAATTGCAGAAATGATCCACACTGCTAGTCTGGTACACGATGACGTCCTTGACGATGCGAGTTCTCGGCGAGGAAAACACACGGTTAATAAGATCTGGGGTGAACAGAAGGTACGGTGTTTTTGTTTCCTTTTCATCTTCTTAGCCATTCACACGCTCTTTGGATTGCATTTACTTTTCAGATTTGTCTCATTAAAAAGTAAAATGTGCTTCCTCAGACGCGGCCTTCCAACTTCCAAAATAGTATTCATGTCTGTGTACATACATGTGATAATAGAGGAAACCACAGAAAAATAAGCTTCGTATTTCTGGTTATTCACAGTTTTATATAGAATTCCTTTTGGTTATAGGGAGAAGGATTTTTGTTGTTATCCAAAAAGCATATTTTTGTGAGGAACCATACATTTTACTTTGGGGCTCAGATTACTCAGGTTCAGTTTAATTCTTTAACCGTTTATTGACTGCCATGTGCAAGAGTATCATGGCAAGTAAACAAGTAAAGCTAAGATACGTGTGTGTGTGTGTGTATATATGTATCTTAAATATAGATATGTAAAAAAAATACACACACATATACTGTGAAAATTATACACTTTTAAATACAGGCTCTATAATTGAGTTTGGTTCATACATGTGTATTTTAAAGCATATTTCCCCAGTATTTTATTAGCATCTCTTGAAGGGGAAATGGGGATTTTGCCTGAAGATATTTAAATCATGGGATTTAAAGCCACGGGAACAGCGCTGAGCGAATGAGCAGGAAGACGAGCAGGCCTTTTGTTCAGGGGCGGCGTCCCCCAGCACACACCTCCGTTGGCCGCTCTGCCTGTTTGAAGGGCAAACCAAACATCAGCGTGAACAAAGTTTCCCTCTGCTCACCTTCCCTGCCATGCATATAGTACCCGGTTCCCTCCTGTTTTCTAATTGCCCTTATGAAAAAGAAGAAGTGTATATTAATTGTTATCTTCACATGCTGGTTTTGCTTTCGGGTACATGACTTTGCTCTGTATCAAGTCCTGCAATCTCATTTACAAATCTTTTATTTCAGATTTTTAATTAAAAGGTTTTGTATCCTATGGGCAGAATTCCATACATCAAAGAAGGTTGTTTAAAAAAGAGGTGGGGGGGGGTGCAGTTTCATTTTGGAGAGGTCATGGGTACCTTTGTGACATGTCCCTGCAGTCAACTGTCCGTTTTCAGGGCCTGTCCTAAAGCCTTATTAAGAAAACAAATTCGGGTCTTCTCCTTGCCTAGTTAGTCCTCCCTTCCACCCCCCACCCCCGTGATCACCTCTGTTGTTGGTGGCCTCTTTCAGCCTGAGACTGGTCAGCTGGGGCGGCCCACTTGCCAGCGTCCTGGCCCCCCCACCTCCCTCCCCTCCCCCCCTCCCCTCCCCCCACCCGCCTCTCAACAGGGAAGTACTTGTGTTTCCAATAAAAATCCATTCACACAGCGCCTCCTCCAGGAGCCCTTGGTACCTTGCCTGGGTTCCAGCCCAGCCTGGTGGCTTCATCTTCATACGCTGGAACCTTTTGGCCTCTGGGATCCCTGGGGCCAGGAGAAGAAAGACATAAAAGCCTAGAGATCCAGAGCCCTAATGATGGAGGGGTGCTAATGATGGAGGGGTAGATGAGGGATCCATATATATCATCATGGGTACAATGATTCTATAAATGTGTATTTATGTTTATGTCGAGATAATTTGTACAATGTTATATAAAATGCTTAATAGGTAAACATACTGAACACTAATTTTAGATACTAGAGAAAAGACAAAAAAAGTTAAAATGTGATGTTGAAAACTATGAATTATAATTTCTATGGAATCTAGCATTTATAATTTATAATTATACTAATTATAATAAAACTCAAGTATGTCTTTAAATATGCAAATGAGTATATTTGATTACAGGGTATAATTCAGTTATGTATAATTTATAACAAGCTGTAGGTACAGTATGGGCATCTACTCCCAATGTAAAGAAGATTGGAAAAATATCGATTATCTAGTGTTCAGTACAGAAAATTTTGTCTAGGAACGAGGGGCAGTGTGTAGAGCACAAAGAGCACTGAACTTGGAGCCAGGATGCCCAGGTTTGCTTTTCACTGAGAAAAGCACGCGTTGTGCCAGGCGCTGGGGTGTGCCGAGCACCAGCCGAGATGACCCCCAGCCCGTGCCCTCAGGGAGTTCGGTAAAGAGGGCATTAGTGGGTGAAGACAACAGCATGCCCAGGGTGCCGCGCGCACAGAGGGGAGGCATCTGCAGACTGGGGGATCCCGGTGGACTTCCTGGAAGTGTCACCCGAGCTAACTATGCAGCCGCGTCTGCCCAGGGAAGAAGGGGAAGGACTTTTTGAGTAGGAGAGACAGTGCAGAGGCACAACCGCGTGGCTTGAGGCAAGCGTGAGTGTTCCAGCACGTCCGACCCTGGGGGCTGCTGGACTCTGGCAGGTTCGGGCATGAAGCAAGAGCGTGCAATGCTGTCGGTCTCCAGGCCTTCACTTGCTCTGCTCTGAACTGGGGAGAAAGATGGGTAATCTCTGGGAACCGATCCAGTGCCAGGGATGTTCCGAATCTGTAACTGATTATTGCACAGACTCCTGCTGAGGACGAGCGGTGGGGAACTTGGGGCCAAGATGACCCCTCGTTCCCATCCCGAATGTCTCCTCTGAGGAGCCAGCTCCACCGTGGGCTCCACTGCGCTGATACTTTTCTCCAAAAGTTTCTTTTCTTCTTTTCCAGGCTGTTCTTGCTGGTGATTTAATTCTTTCTGCAGCATCTATAGCTCTGGCACGAATTGGAAATACAACTGTGATATCTATTTTAACCCAAGTTATTGAAGATTTGGTGCGCGGTAGGTTAATTCTGACTTTTCTTCTTTTTTATTCAATCCCCGTCTAACTAGCCAGGCAATTAAGCCATGTCGCAAATGACCCCTTTCTTTCTTTCTAGGTGAATTTCTTCAGCTAGGGTCAAAAGAAAACGAGAACGAAAGATTTGCACACTACCTTGAAAAGACCTTCAAGAAGACTGCCAGTCTGATAGCCAACAGTTGTAAAGCAGTATGTACGTTCTGTCTTTGTTCAAGTTAAAAAAAAAAAAAACAAAAAACCTCATTGCTCTTTCTTGGGAACTACTGTTCCTGGGGAACATTTCACTGGAGAACCTTAAAATAGTAACCAAAATCCCATGAGGTCATTGAGAAAAGAATGACATCCCCAAACAACAGAGAGCTTCTGCCGTGGGGCCCATTTTTGCGGTCTTCTTTTGCTAGGCGGACATTCACTTTTCCTCTTTCCTCCCAAGAGCCGAATCAAAATAAGCCCTCTGCACTGGGTCTGATCTCCAAACTGTGTGATGTTTGCAACAACTTCTCATAAATAATTTCTTTCACGATTGTTGTCCCGTATACCATTTCTGACATTTTACCCTGAAAAAGTGGCAAAGTGCTGTCTTCTTAAATACACTGTTTGCCCAGGAGAAAATGCCAATTAGATTGTCCTAGTGTTCTTTCTTATGAGTAGTAGCTCCTCCCAGTCTTTTTACATGAAATATAAATGAGCCATTTTTCAGGGCACCCAGGTGGCTCAGTGGGTTAAGCGTCCAACTCGATCTCCGCTCAGGGTCATGAGTTCAAGCCCCGAGAGAAGAGGAAAAAAAACAAAACAAAACCCAAGCCATTTTTCTTCGGATATAAATCAAGTGTGAACTGTAACTTTTTCTCTCCCTTGCTTTCTCTCCCTGGCCTTCCCTCCACTCTTCTTTTTTTTAAAAGTCCGTATTCTCCTGAGTCTGTAGACTACAACAAGTGGTATTCAGTGCTAGCCCCTAAATGAGAGCTGGTTCTCTCCATAGCATTGCTCATCTGACCGGCTGTCGGCCTAACCAACGTGGCAGAGACAAATCCTGGGCAAGCACTAGCTCCTTGAGATCAAAGCAGCGTCAGAGGGAGCCCTCCAGGGGCAGGTGTACATTGCTGCCCTCATGCGCTCTTAATATTCCTGCAGTTAAAGAGAGCTTTTCCTCGGGCCTCTCTGGTGAGAAAGGCCCCTTGCCAATAGTGTGTCAGTTCTGAGAAGTGTCAAGAAATGGATAATTGTGAGTCATAAAACGATGAGGACATTTTCTTTCTAAAAAGACGTAATGGAAACTCTAAGAAATGTGAATTACGTGGAACATGCTGGCCATGATTTCAGCCGTTTTTGTTTTTATTGAAAGGGCTGATATTTTATTTCCAAGGAATTACAGGTATGGTTTTTTAAAATAGAGAGATGGATGGAAATATGGTAGACACTAGAATGCTGAATAGAAGAATGGCTGATTTTAAAATGGGGTGCCATAAAGCTGTCACAGTAACCCTTCATTGACCATCTTATCTCTGATGGTCAAAATGTCCATGAAGATGGAGCGCCAATCTCATAAGGCACGCTCAGGCGCTCGGTGGAGCTCACGGATGATCTCACAAGCTGCAGACGGCAGCAGGAAGCACTGGAGGCTAGTGGGGCTGTTGGAACTGGACACGCTGAGAGTCGTCGTTCACACAGAGTGGACATCCCGTAGGCACACGGCCGCAGTGCCCCATGAGAACCAGGCAGGTGCGAATGCCCGCAGTGATCAAACCCTACAAAGGGCCAAGGAGATGGACCTGAAGCACCAAGGAAAGCCTGAATTGTGGTCCCTCTCCTCTCTGTTTGGGAAGCCAGATTTGCTCTGTTACAGCACACATACTCATTTATAAATTGCACCTCGTTCTTCACAGATTAGCAAGGTACCAGTAGACGTGTATATTAACACGGCTCAGCCCTTTTTAAAAATGAAATGCTTTATGCTATCCACTAGGAGGCATGCTGGCGTCATCCCACAATGACCCACTTTCTCTGTGATTTATTCCTAAACCCCAGAACTGTTAGAATAATAAAGCAAAATCACAGTGTGAGCGTTCTAAATAAAAGATTCTATACTTAAGTGCCTATGGGTAGAAATATTCCAGAGGGGTTACATATTCAGCATGGCTATTTTTATATACTCCTGGTATTCAAAATGCAAAGACGTGGGGTTCCAAAAGTTCATGCAACGCAAACTAGAAGTGCCAGAAAGAAGGAATACAGAATTTAAACATCAGAATTATTACGGAATAACGAATCAGAATTTAAGATGTCATGGGAATTTGAAGGAAATTGAGCAGCTTATAATTTATTCTGTTAAAGACACCCCACCCCACCCCCCTTAACCACTCCTTGGCTTTTTAGTAGAAAAATCTAAGAAAGGGCTATCTAGGATTGTTTTAGGACAGTGGCTGATATGAAAACAGTAGTAACATTTTTAAATAAGTGTTATTTACTTGTATACATAGGCAGAATACATTCGAGCTTCCCAATGAAGGCCATGATTTGTTCCCTTAGAAAATCTGATGGGAATGAGATCTGAGAGGTCCAGTGGCCCATCCAGTGTTAGTCAGACAGTGGCTGAGCTGGGATTCGAACCCAGAACTGGGTATGGTAATCCTGCATTCATTTGGTTTTCTTTCTTTCTTTCTTCCTTTTTTTTTTTCTTTCTGAATTTCTCCTCTCTCCAGTGCTGCATAGGGCCTGGCATCAATGGGCTCTCTTCCTGTTACTTTATTTTCAAAGCCACGGTGTGCCACTAAAGGATTTTGTTCTGTGGCTCGTATTTGCAGAACACTGACTTTTGGTACGATAGTCTTACCTAATCTGCGGATAGACCTTATTCCTGTTTTGCTTACTGTCATAAGAAAGGGAGAAAAAAATCTTCCAGTTCAGGATCCAGTCCAGGTTCTCCTGTTGCATTTAGCAGTCGTGAATCTTTAGTCTCTCCGTCTGGAACAGTTCCCCGGTCCGTCTGGGTTCTTACATTCCCTTAATATTTTGAAGAGCACAGTCCGGTTATGTTGTTGAACCTCTCGAGTTGGATTTGTCTGCTACTTCGCACACTGAGATACAGGTTATGCATTTGGGGCAGGAAAACAGCAGAAGGGATGCCCCTTCTCAGTTCGTCGTGTCAGGGGGCACATGTCCTTTTACTGGTGATGTTCACTTTGATCACTTGATTGCAGTGGTGACTGCCTGGTTTCTTCACTTGAAAGTTACTGCTTTTCCCTATCTGGGAAGGTACTTTGAGATTATGTAAATCTGCTTCTTATCAAACTCTCCAGTTTTCACATCGGCTTATGATGCTTTCAACTTAGTACCAGGATGGTGGTGAATGATGGTTGTGTAATTCTGTCATTCCTTCTACACCACGCTTCTCCAATAGAGTGGGTCTTCTATTTTTTTTTTTTTAAGATTTTATTTATTTATTTGAGACAGAATGAGAGAGAGAGAGAGCTCATGAGAGGGGGGAGGGCCAGAGGGAGAAGCAGGCTCCCCGCCGAGCAGGGAGCCTGATGCGGGACTCGATCCCGGGACTCCGGGATCATGACCTGAGCCGAAGGCAGTCGCTTAACCGACTGAGCCACCCAGGCGCCCCGTGGGTCTTCTATTTTAAGGACGATCTTATCTATATGGACTCTTAACATTCTTATTCTATAGATTATAACCCTTTATTTTTATTTATTTAAATGCTGAAGTATCCTCTATTTGGCCAATGGGAAAAGCCCTTTAACCTGGCTCCTGTGTCTTGTTAATCCACCCCCTTCATTCTTTCCGCACTTTCTTAATTTCTAGCAGGAGATGTTCCAGGCTCATCTTGCCCTTCCCAGCACTGGGATTCATAATTTCTTCAAGGAGCCCTGTTCTTTCTGGTGGAGAATGGTATTTAGAAACCAAGATCTTGCCCTAGGTATCACTGGGCCCTCCCAGTGGACAGAGCTAGGAGATTTTAATATGTGTATGTGTGAATATGCATCTATCTTGGTCTTTTTATATCCCATCTATGTGTGTGTGTTTATTTATTTATTATTTTTATAATTATATAGTTCTTTATTTTTAAGATTTTATTTATTTGAGAGAGATGGGGGTGTTGCAGAGGGAAAGGGAGAAGCATGCGGGGCTCGATCCCAGAACCCTGGAATCATGACCTGAGCTGAAGGTAGATGCTTAACTGACTGAGCCACCCAGGCGCCCCTCACCTATGTGCATTTACAACCATGAGGTAACCACATGATTCATGATTTATTCGAGCATTTCTTCTTTCCATACAGTTGACCTTTGAACCACATGGGTTTGAATTGCACAGGTCCTTCTGTGCGGGTTGTGTTTTTTAATTTTTTTTAAATAAATACAGTATAGCACTGTGAAAGTCCTTTCTCTTCCTTATGATTTTTCTAATAACATTTTCTTTTCTCTAGCTTTATTATAAGAGTACAGGATATAATGCATATAACCACAAAATATGTGTTAATCGAATGTGTTAATCAGCGAGACTTCTGGTCAAAAGGAGACTGTTAGTAAAGTTTTCGGGGAGTCAAAAGTTATACCTAGATTTGCAACTGCAGGGGAGATGGGGGGCAGTGTCAGCACCCCTAACCCCCATGTTATTCAAGGGTCAACTGTACTTGTAACTCCTTTCCCCAAGAGTAAGAAGCCTGGCTCCCATTCTCCCCAGTATATTTATTTGCTCAATCCCCTAGAATATATATACCATAGGGGCTTAAAAATTGGTAACTTCCTATCTCTGTTAAAACAACCCTAGTAGTTCAGTATGTGTTTATAGCTCCTTTTGGTTTTAGCCTGAGGATGATAGAATCAAAGATCTGTATTCAGAAGTTACCTTTCATCCCTTTTCAGTGTGGTTACATTATTATTTGAAGTACAGGTTAGGTTTTGTTTTTTGTTTTTTGTTTTTTCTTTACTCCATTTTAGGGCTTCCCTCCCATTCTTAGGGATTTTGTGTTTGGGGTTGGAGGCTGCTGTCCGTTTCTAGTGCATGAAACCCTAACAAAGCTCCGCGAGTCAGAACGGTACCGCAGGTGACTGCCCGCCAGCCCAGCTACGTTCCAGGAGGTGCGGCGCGTCGCCCACGAGAGGCACGACCGACCTGGCCGTGGGCCTGCTTCCCACAGAACGGTCCGCCGGGCTCCGCCTTCTCTGCCTTAACCATTCCCTGCCGCCCACTCCCGTCCGGAAAGACGCGGGGCCTGTGACCTTCTGGCCGTGGAGGGACAGCCGCAGGCCACCCGTCCACAGGCTGGGGGAGCAGGATTCTCTGCGGGCGGTGAGGCCTGGCCTTGACACCGCGGTCGCCAAGCTCGGAGCGGAAATGGCCCGTTCGCGCCCGCGAAGCAGGAGGCGCCCGCGAAAGCAGCTCCTGGCCGGGTCAGCGCGCGGGAGCGAGGTGGCCGGTGCGCGCCGACCGCATGGCCGTGCGCGTCCTCGGGCACGTCACTTGACCTCTTCGGGCTCTGGAGTCAGACCTCTTGGGTTCACATTCTGATTCCGCCATTCCCCAGCCCCCGACGTCTGGTCCGCACTCTCCGGGCCTCCGGGCCTCGCTCGTGAGTCCGTTAACACGCGGGAAACCTCAGACCAGGACCTGTGCCTACTGGTGCTCAGGAATTGTTCGCTCTTGGCAGCCATCAACCACAGAAGAAATGCCTATGGGACGTTGTGAGGTTTAACTAAGATAATGTAAAGTGCTCATCCTAGGTACTCCATAAATTTTAATCCCGTGAGTTTAGAAATAGAATGGGGTTTTTAAATGTCTTTGACTTTTCAGGAAGAAAGCTGGCACTTCGGTGCTATTTTGTGTTGAGGTAACTGCGTGGACAGGAGTGCCCTGGGAGTTGTTTCCATCTAGAAAGGCGGTGTCCTCGTGTTCTGAGCTCAGCGCATCCCCGGCTGCCCGAATCTCGTCTGCTCATTCATTCAGCCAAGTTGATGGATATCTTCACTCTTGCCAGAGTTTCTAAATTGTGTCGCATGTGGTCTCCTAGGTTGGAAAGAGGACTCCGTCCCTGTAGCAGTTCTGAGTTTATTATTCACTCAAGGAAGTGGCCGCCTGACCTTTCACGACGCGCACATTGTCATCTGAGGGCGTGCAGCCAAACGTGACACAGTCACAGGCTTCCTTGCGTCATCAAAAACATCCTCAGGGCTGAGCAAATAGCGGGATCTGGCTTTCAGTAGCCACGGTGCATGGACACTGCCCAGCTCCGCTTTCTGCGCCCAGGGGATGAGGAGGAGGAGGATTATTAACAATAATAGCAAACATCTAGTGTTATAACCAGGTGCCAGGCACTGTGCTGAGGTTTAAAAGTAGCATGACATGCATTCCTTACAGCAACCCTACGAGCTAAGAGCTCTGGATCCTGCATTTTACAGAAGGGGAAACCGAAGCACAGAAATACCAAGTAATACACCGAGATCACGTGGTGTCGCAAGGGGCGTAAGTGCGCCCCTAGCGGCCTGACTGCAGAGCGCCCGGCCAAGGGGCCGCGGAGGCCAGGACTGAAGGCAGAAGACCCAGTTCATCATCATCAGTGACCCACGGCAGGCAGGACACTGATGCCATCTGGCTTTCTCGTGCACTCAGTATAGACATTTCCTCTCCAGTGAAGTCGATGCCGCTCCCCCACTCCCCCCTTTTGATTTTTACCCAGTCTTTGTTTTCTAGAAATGTGGCAGGACCTGCTTAGCATGCTTAGCAGAGCAGTGGGAAATGCACTCAAGTGGCCAGTGTCGGCTAGGTTTTTTTGAGTTTTAGAAAGACTTAGAAGTCCTACTTCTCTTCCACGGAAAAGGGGGGGGCGGGGGCTTTTATGTAGCTAATTACTTCTTGCATAAGAAACAAGTAGGACCAGTGAAGACCCTTTGCTAATGAGAAAACAGTGTCTGTGTGAAGCGCGGGCAGAGGCTGTTACAGACATGTCAGGAAATAACTGCATTTGAGAAAAAAGTGAAATCACCAAAAATTATTAAAAGAAAGGAACTACAAACGAAATATATGGCAACATCGTGTGTAATTAGAGCAGATGAGATATCTATTCCCAAAAAATGGCTAAAGCAATAGAAAAATAAAAATAGAGCCAACATTTAGGCCAGGTTTGCTGAGTGCTGAAAGCAGCGAAAAGGAGGTCTTATCCTGGGAAAGGAGGGGTGGCAGGTAGCTTCCCTAGAATTTAAGAGAACCATCTGAGATGGAGGCTGGAACCCTTTCATTAAAAACACAGGTATTCTGGGACGCCTGGGTGGCTCAGTCGTTAAGCATCTGCCTTTAGCATAGGTCGTGGTCTCAGGGTCCTGGGATGGAGCCCCGCGTCGGGCTCTCTGCTCAGCGGGGAACCTGCTTCTCCCTCTGCCACTCGCCCTGCTTGTGCTGGCTCTCTCCTTCTCTCTCTCTGTCAAATAAATAAAATCTTTAAAAAAAAAACAACAACCCACAGGTATTCTGTGCATGTCTGGTCTCATTCTGATGGTGGGATCTCCTGACTGTGTAACACAGCCTCACCACCTCGGTTGGCTGCCCTGCTCATTGTCAGCAACTTATTCCAGAATTCTCTTTCTGCTTCAGGTCTCTGTCCTAGGATGCCCGGACCCAGTGGTGCATGAGATTGCCTATCAATACGGAAAAAACGTGGGCATCGCCTTTCAGGTTGGTCGTCTGTTTTTTAGGAACATGGCCCATTGGCACAATGGGAAGGGCAGCGGTGATGCCTGGGGTGGCCGTCCTCCTGACATTCCTTTTATCCGTTCGCTAGCTGATAGATGACGTGTTAGACTTCACCTCATGTTCTGACCAGATGGGCAAACCAACATCAGCGGACCTGAAGCTTGGGTTAGCCACGGGCCCGGTGTTATTTGCTTGCCAACAGGTAACGTTTTCCAAACTCCCTCTGACACAGTGCTTTGCATCTTCCGGGCACAGCTGATGGGAAGGTTCAGATAAGGAAGGCGTGGGAAAGCATTTACATAAGAGACCTCAGATCTCTGTTTGATCCTGGCCTCTGCCACTGAGATGTTGGGACCAGTTATGTTATTTTACTTCTAAGCTTCATCTGTGTCCTTATCTGTGACACTGAGGAGATTTACAACTTTCCTCCCAGGGCCGTAGTGAGGAGGAACGGAGATAATGTTCAAGAGGTACTTTACAGATTAAATGCTGTGTGCATTTAAGGTAGCATTATGAGGATTTCCATATATTTTTGGCACTGACAAGGTGAATGGTTTCCGCATCTTAGTTTCAGGACTGGACTTGGGTGTGCCTCAGAGCCCCTTAAAAAGGCACAGGAAGGGCCTCCGAGCATGAGAAATTCTGCAGTTCTAGAAGTTTGATGAGACTGCTGCTCTCAGCCTTGGCCATGGCCTCAAAATGTCAAGAAGTCAGTGGAATGCACTGCTAGAACCATAGTTTCTTCCTTCTCCAGATTGAGGGACTGTCCCTTAAGGAAGGAAGTAAAGCTGCCTTCATATCCTCCTTAATGTGGATGAGAGCTTAGGAACTTGAGATGCTGCAGGGTCTGTGAGGCAGATGTTTCTAGAACCTGCTCTGGAGCCCTGCCACATTGCTTAGGGCTGGGCCAAACGTGGTTTGAAGTAAGTGGGATATTGGCTGGCATTTGGACATCTTTTTAATAGATTTTCATGTTTGTAGTATATTTAATCCAGTTAAAACTTAGCAAAGCAGTAAGATGTCACCATGCCATGAAATTAAAAATTAGCTCTTTGGTCTAAAATTTTAGTAACTTTTAGTCTGAGATTTTTGCCTCTGTTCTTTCTCAGAATTTACAAAGATAAACTGTGTCTTCCATAGAACTCAGTGATTCCATTATTGAAACCAGTGACCTTGCTTTTGATCAATTTCTGATCCAAGAAAGGAGAGATCATCATTTATCCATTGTCTAGCAGAGCTGTAACCCGGGTAATTCTCCTCGGAGGAGGCTGATGGCTTTGCGGGGGCCAGGGGGAGGGGGGGCTGCTGGGCCAGGGGACAGCAGTCAACTGAGGAACGAGGGCTCCGAACAGAGATGTTGGATTGTGGAAATACCTGTCCTCACTGCCAGGCTCTGTCTTCACAGAATTTTGAGACAGAGGTGAGAAGGAAAAGGCGTGCTATAAATGGGTCCTTTCTCCTATGGAGACTAACTTGCCGGCCCCAAAACTCAAGGAGAATATTAAAACGTGTGCTAAGCTCTGACAAAAATTTTTAAAATCCCCTTGTATACATGAAAGCATGAGCAAGGAACATTTTATTTTTTACCATTAGCCCACCTAAAAGCAGAGAACTCATGAGCCCTGTAAACGTCAAGGCATGCCCGAGGGTAGAAGGATCAGTCACTGCCCACGGTCTAGACAACTACGAACAGTAGTCAGCCTGCTCCAGAGACCCTGGTGAGCAAATGTGAGTGAAGATGCCTTTAGTGAAGCCCTGAGGTTATCAAGATGACTAAGGAACAGGTCTTTTCCCGAAAGAAGCTTGCAGTCTACCAAAAAGCTTTGGGTGTCATACTTTTAGAAATCTTAACAGTTACAAGTAGTCGTCCTGAACCCCGGTGACACTAACAGCCGAGTCTGTGATTGATTGAGAATGGATGCCTCTTCTGATTGCTTTATTGTCAATATATTTCAGAAGAAACTAATTTGCTTTCCTCTACACAAAGGAGTAGTGAATAATTCTCCCTTCGGACATAGTGGGTCAAAGTCAGGGGGAAAAATGGATCACTCCTACATATGAATTAGTGAGTAATACATAAGAGATTAAAAATGCCGGGTTAAAATTAAAAAAGGGCAAGGAAAAGGAACACACAAAAGCTTACAGCATCCCAAACCACAGTGCTCTGGGTGTCTCACTGGGAAATGCAGCATCACGAGGCACCCACTCACCCTCACCAGAAGCACTGTTCCCATCTGCCCATAAGGTGGTAGGAAAAGGAATGAAAAATCGCGCCAGGGCAGCCTTAGAAAAGGGAACACACAGTGAGGCTGAGCAGGAAGTGACTCTGGACAGAGCTTGTTTCCTAAGTAGACTGGCTGTTCTGTCCTGTGGCGCATAGGCAAAAGGTACTCAAAAAAGTTGAAGTTGTTTTAAAAAAAACCATCAAGTTTAGGCTCTACCGTGGATTACACGGTCAAAAAAAGGGGATTTTTGGGCCAGCAATGTGTGAAAAGATTTATGGGGCCAAGTGATTTTGAGTAAAACAAATGCCAAAGTAACATGAGACTGTGCAGTATCTCCATTTAATGAAAATGCATTGTTTTCATGGTTTGCAAAGGATTCTTTCATACAGTATCTCTAATCTCACAACTCCTCTTTGTGGTAGGTATTATGCCCACTCTACAAATAAGAAAGTGATGCGCAAACTTGGCCAAAATTAGACATCTGGTAAATGGCACAGCAGACAATTAAACACCAACTCTTCTAAGACCAGTATTCCTTTCACTCCTCAATGTCCTACTATGGCCAGCGCAGACGTTGATGAGAGCTTGTCTGATCCCCCGTGGGGCTTCCCACAGAGCAGGTAACTCGTGTGCTCTGGGACTGGCGACACTCCAGAAGAGCCTCCGTCGGCCCTCTGGATCTGTCATTAACCTGCCCATTTAGCGGAGTCCTTGTAAGATGTTTGTAATCTTTTTCCGTAGGTGGGTGAGTTTTGTCTGCCAATTCTTAGTCTTTGAGTTTTTCCATCTGCAAACTCTGAGTCTCGACCACAACAAGCAACTTTGGGAAGCCATTTTTCCTTTTTAACACAGTTATTGTCTTGAAATAGGAATTTGTTGGACCCAGCAACTTAATAGAAACTCCCTGTCTTTGGAATTCACTATTTTTGACATCTCTCTAAAGAGGTTTCTGGATAACAGTACAGGGGATTTTAAGAAAAATTTCGGGATTTCTGGAGGGGTCCCAGCGATGACGGTGTCCTTACATCTATATGTGTATACATATTTCCTGTAAGAACAAAAACGTCATGTCAGATCTTTTAAAAGAGCATGTAAGTTGGATCTTGAGCTCTTCAGAACAAAATAGAAGTGTTTGGGTTTTTTTTTTCTTTCATGAGATTACATTAGTTCTCAATCCTTTAAAAGATCGTTTCCTTTCTTCTGCTTCTCTTACTTGATAAGTCACCAGACCTAAATGTCATCCTTAGCCGCACTTCCAGCCCTCCTCAGCAGCCCCAGCCCCCGCACCAGCCGTACAGGCTTCTTTGTGACTAGCTGGTCCCCTAGCTACCCAGGTTTTGTTTGCGTAAGCTCACTACATTTATTCATCACCTTTGTAGTTTAGTTTATGGATACATTTCACAGTTAGAATATGATTTGTCCTACGCTTCCCCCCACCAACAAAGATTTATTTTAGAGAAAGAGAGAAAGCAGTGGGGGAGGGGCAGACTCCCCACTGAGCGTGGAGCCGGACACGGGGCTCAGTCCCACCACCCCAAGATCATGACCTGAGCCAAAACCAAGAGTCGGACACTCCACTGACTGAGCCACCCAGATACCCCTGATTCGTCCTACTCTTAAAAGGTCTCCCTGTAGGCCCTCTAACTAAAACAGCCTGGACAAACAAAAATTTTCTTATTTCTCAAGAAATCTGCAAGCAGGCAACTGTTGTTTCCGTCACGCTCCTCATTTCTCCTCCACGTACACAGTTAAGGGGATGGGGATGCCTAGGGGAAGAGTTCAGTATTTGCATATTAAAATTGCACACACCACATGTTTAAAGGAAGGATGTAGTCACATCGTTGCAAATATTTTCTTCAAACTTTGCTGTCTTGATGCTTTTTATAGTAAAAGGAGTCAGCACACACGGCACATTTTACCACCCTTGTTGGTACTGCAGAAAAAGCTCATATACCATAAACAAGGTAATTTTACTAGATGCCCAGGACAGTGTCCTGTCAGCTCTGAGGATATGGCCTTCCAGAAGTCCAATTTTGGAATGCGGTATTAAGACAAATGCTTACTTGATTTGGCTTTTCTACCTCTAAAATTGATTGATTTGAGCTTCCTGATGTGTTTCCTGTGAAACTTAAATTGTTCTATTCTTAAAGGCCAGTAACTAAAACAAATTACCGGTTTTCTTTTAAGAACTAACCATTTGCTGGCCTTTACATTTTATAAGCATGTGAGCAGCCTCTACATGTTTAGAACTTTGTTCCAATGCATACTTTGCTCTGAAAGGAACACTCTTAATTCTTCATCTGTCATCATCCGGTTGAGGTTTTTCTATGTGTGCCCTATTTTTTCTTCTAGGATTACTAATACCGTGGTGGTGGTTACAGGACAACAACTTCAGGCTCACTGCCAGGGAAAAACTGGCAACTGCTGTAAGCACTGATGTGTCCAGAACCAAATCTATCTTACCTCTTATGTCAGGGAACCAGAAGCTGCTAGAGCTAACGGATTTCAGCTCATTTGGTTAAGCTCCTTCACGACACTGAGGAGGAGGCTAAGACCCACAGGTCATGGAGCACACTCGACTATGGAGGCACCAGGACTAGAGCTCTGGTCTAGAAAATGAAGTGGTCTGGTGTCCTGACTTCCTGATTTTGTTAATGGTGACAATTCTCCTGAATTGTTGCTACATGTTGCAGAATATAGATTTTTATCTTCAGTGTACCTATTTTCTTTTTTTCTCTTGGTGCCACAGCTTAACTTTGGTCGTCTTTAAAATTAACTACACTAACGTGACTGGCCTCTCTACCTCCTGTAATTCAGTGGTTCTCAAACTTGGCTGCACATTAAAAGTACCTGGAGTGCTTTTAAAATCTTGATGCCCAGGCCAGACCCCACCCCAGCCAATATAATCAGAATCTTTGGGAGCAGATCCAGGCAACCATAAGCTTCCCGACTGACCAGCATGCAGTCAACACTGAGCAGCCCCTGCTCTGACCCACTTGACGAGCTGCTGAGGTAGAACTCTGCTCATAATACCCTCTGCTCAGATACCTCAGTATCTTTCAAGTGTCACTCAGGTTAGCACTAAAAGTAGAATGCCTAATTCCCACCCTCATCCTAGGCCACTGCTTCTCAAAATGTCAGCAGAGACCAGCAGAATCCATATCATCTGGGAATCTGTTAGAAATGCATGCTGAGGCCCCAATCCTACTGATCAAGGAAGGCCTCTGGTGATTCTGGTGCAATCTGAAGTTTGAGAACTGTAAGAGAAGCCAACAAGGAGATTTTAGGGATGTAGTTTGTTCCTTCACTCTTTCTTACTCAGTGTTGGACCCAAGAATAGAATAGAAAGAACACCAGAATGAACAAGGATCAACAGCTGCCTCTTCTGAGCACCAGCTCAGTCCCTGGGCATGGAAAATGGATGTCTCTCTTAGCTCTGCTTCTTTAATTGCTACAATTTATTGCCCCCCCAATCTGAACATTTAATCACCTTTTTGTCTTTTCCTATTGTTACAAACTTAGTGTTAGAACATTTGATTTTCACAAGAGCAATAAATATTTTCTTTCTTTATGGTTAGTTCCCAGAAATGAATGCTATGATAATGAGACGGTTCAGTTTGCCTGGAGATGTGGACAGAGCTCGACAATATGTATTACAGGTATGATTATTTTACAAAGAAATAAGGCCGGAGCAGGTACAACACTGCCAAGTTCTTTAACCAAATAATGTAACAAATTTTAGATACAAAACCAAGTGTGGTCAATTCTTGACTTGACAAAACTGAGAAAGAGAAACTTGTAATTCTTTTTTCCTCTAGAATTTTTTAAATTTTTATTGTTACGTTAGTCACCATACAATACATCATCAGTTTTTGATGTAGTGATCCACGATCCATTGTTTTTGTATAACACCCAGTGCTCCATGCAGTATGTGCCCTCCTTAATACCCATCACCGGGCCAACCCATCCCCCCATCCCTCTCCCTTCTATCTAAAGACTAATTTAAGTGGCCTTGGATAAGGTTTTGGACACTAGGATTTTTTTTAAAGCTACCCAAGTGATTCTAATGTGTAGTATGGACTGAGTCCCACTGGTTTGAAACCAGTCTTCCCCAAATCCACTGGCAGCACTGCTGTCCTCCAGTCACCCAGACACGCCTCCTGGTGCAGGCTCTCACCTTTGCCACCACCAGGTTATCGGGTGCTCACAGCTGTCACCTCAGTATTGGCCGTCCCTAGTCCCTCAAGGAAAGAGCCCACAGAGGCGGACTGTTTCACCTTCAGGGGCTGTGAGCTTATTTCACATACACTGCCACATATCCTCAGAACTTTTCTGTAGAAGCCGGATCTTTTTTACGTTTTTTTTTTTTTTTTAAAGATTTTATTTATTTGACAGACACAGCGAGAGAGGGAACACAAGCAGGGGGAGTGAGAGAGGGAGAAGCAGGCCTCCCGCAGAGCAGGGAGCGAGATGCGGGGCTCGATCCCAGGACTCTGGGATCATGACCTGAGCCAAAGGCAGACGCCCAGCAACTGAGCCACCCAGGCGCCCCATTTTTTACATATTCTCACTTTCAAGAACTATCTTTTGAGAATGAGCTGTTTCCAAAATCCAAACCCAAAGTCATTTGGAGCCAGTAGATATAATGAATGAGATGGGGTGAGCAGTTTTTAGTAAGCTAATGTGTGGTCCGATCTATGGTTAGTGCAGTACTTAAAAGAATTCCAAATAATTACCTTCAGACTTCCAAAACGCAAGACCCCCTTCAAAGGATGTATTTCCCTTAACTAACTCTCTGTATTGTTAAGCATCACCACCTCTTTGGAGGGTAGTTTGGCAGTACTATTAAAAACTCAGTATAGGGGCGCCTACCTAGGTGGCTCAGATGGCATAAAAACATGGCTCCAGAAGAGAATGCAAATCTCTATAGTGTTAAAGAACACTGGTATCCTTGAGATTAAGTAGTTGGTGCTACATAATGACAAAAGTAACTAACAGAAGAACTAAAGATGGTAATAGGATTATCAAATCAGGAGGCGTGGGGTGGGTGGGCTAAATCCTCACCTTTCTCAGCAGAAAGGCAATAGATAATAACTAAAGTTGCTAATTAAGACATTAAAACCAGCAGATAAAGCTGGTGTCTTTGGAAGAAAGGAACTGTTGATTTCCATCATATGCGCTCTTTCGTTATGTATATGTTCTTTTTTGGGGTTTTTTTGTTTGATTTTTTTTTTTTTTATGTTTTTTGAACTTTAGGGTTTTTTTTACTTGAAAATTTAATACTTAAAAATAAGGGAAAGTAGGTGGCTATTTAATATTAATGAGTTAGTTGCCTTGCATGCTGATAGAATAAAAATGTGCTTCAGTCTGAGAAAAGTGCCTCAACACAGTAGGCAGAGGAAGCTGGAGTGATGAGTTGGAGAGAGGGCACTTGAGACTTAGTTTGGCTATTTATTAACCTGATCTCGATAAAAATATATTTTAGCTCTCTATCATAGCAGGAATTTAAGAGCTGATCAGTGAGTGATGTGTCTGTCCTCTTTTGTTCTGTCCACCCCCACCCCCCCCCCAGAGTGACGGTGTACAGCAGACCACCTACCTCGCACAGCGGTACTGCCACGAAGCAGTAAGAGAGATCAGTAAACTTCGACCGTCCCCTGAAAGAGACGCCCTCATACAGCTTTCAGAAATTGTACTCACAAGAGATAAATGACAACTCTTTGTTATTTCTGGCAGCTATTTTACCAGACTGTGCCTAAAGAATTTTGTGAAATATATTTTGCTTTATGTGCAGATAACCAAAAATCATTTCAAAAAATCATTTCAACCTTATTGATGGGCAATTTTTTTTATTGACAAAGTTTTTTCAGAAAACTTTTTAAATGTAATTAAACCATCCGAATCTGTCACTCTAGTCCTGTAAATTCTAATCGAGGTATCTTGATGGTTATATGTGGTATTGTTTACACTGTTAAGATCCACATGTAAAGCCATTACACAAATAAATAATCAGTGTTAAAATTCAAATGGTTTATCGTGTTTCACCATAGGAGTAAAGGTCACAAAAACTGTGAAGTCTACATTTCAATCCACATTAGATTTTAACAGTATCCAAAATTTCATAGAGGAGAATGGTTTATTATAAAAGACTGTACATAAAATTTAGACAACAGGTTATATACAAAATTAAGAGAACATTCCACTTGAAAAAAATGAAAAAGGTAGCTAGCTGATCACTAGTGATACTGAAATCATGTTTAAAATTAACAAAGGCAAAATGCATATACAAGAGTCACATTGATCTGATAGCAATAATGGCCTTTAATTTTCAGAAATAAATGTTTTGCACTAGTCTTACCATTTACTATGCTGTTATAAGTCTGCAACGCCCAGTACATAACTGTAATTTGAAATCCAAACAAATACTCAATACATAGAAACCCACACTTGAGTGCTCTAATTTAATATCCTAGGCAATACAGAATTACACACAAGATAAGAAAAAAACATCCCTCCAACCTTCCCTTAAATTAAGAGGAGACACACAAAGTGCATGTGTTGCATTTCAATTATTTCAAAAGACAGTATAAATCTGTTGGTCAGGTATATTCCCTGTTCACTGATTAATACATGATCCACCTTTTTACGAATTATTTTCTTTTTAAAACCTTTTTAAGTTGCTAGTGCCAGGTAATGGATTAAATAGCGCCTATTCAAAAGTCAATTGCACCCACTTCTACAAAAACAACATGTAAAAGATACTTACTTCCTTTCATTGAACCCAGTATACAACAATCCACGGAAAACCGAAGGACTGATACGGCAGTCCTTAAGAATTTTACTTACAGAATGTGCACACTTTAACACATTTTCTGAGCTCTGAAAAAGTTACTTTAGAAAAGGAATTCAGTAGATTGACTTGTAAATACCCATCTCAGATTTTAAATCTGCAAAAATCAGTCACTGCCATTGGGACAGGTTGAGATAAGGCTAATATTTTTTTCCAAGTTAATATATTGAGAAAATAGAACCATAATTCTGCAATAAATCAGTATCTTTTATTTACTCATTTATTTATTCATTTATTTATTTATTTTAAAAGCAAACCAGTGAATGAAAGGACAAAAACCTTTGGTTCACTTATATATTTATGAATGGAAAAAATTTATAATGCAAATTCACTCATTAAAAAACTTAGGTACAAATTACAACATTACAGATAACTCTTTGTTTT